GGGTGGCTCCAGAGTCCAAACTGTAGCAGCCCCACCTGAGACTTATTATTTGGAGAAAATTTCCAGAAGGAAATGACAACAGTCACAAACCTGGTGGGGAAAGGGCCTTCCTGTCAATGGAGGAAGTCCTGTCAGTGGAGGAGGTGACGTCTCACACAGGCAGCCAGTCGGAAGGAAACCAGGTGAGCTTGCTGAGTGGGTTTGCGGAGCATGTTTTACTTCAGCCTGTTCCACATCAGCTCCCAGGAAGAATGTGACAACACAGTCATCTCATCAGAGGTGGAAGGTGGAGAAACAATGGAGCCAGAGCCCCCTTCACCTGAGTGAGGCTCAGACTGAGAAGCATCAGAAGCCAGGTGTAGTGGTGCATGCCCCAGGTAGTAGCAGGTGGAACCTGAAGCAGAAGAATTGTAAGTTCGAGACCAGCCTGGGCAACTCAGAAAGAGCTTGTCTTAAAATAAAATTCTTTCATTTGCCTTTTTTTTTTTTTTTTTTTTGAACACTATCCCAGCAAGCGTTTGGCCATGAATTCAACCCCCAGTATAACAAATCAATAGAAAAGGCACCTAGACCTATGGACTATCCTATTGAAACACCTTGCAGATCCCACCTTAGACCCTGAGAGCACGTCTTCCCATGGCGCTGCAGCTACAGTGTATTCCAACACACTCTGATGGCATTCAGGGTTGCTGAGAACACCCCCCCGCTCCAAGACCACAGTTGCTCTCCAATACCAATTATGAATTGGTGCACAGAGAGAAGCTCAGTGCTCTGGAGCAAATGTCCACTGAGAGGGAGCTCTTGCCCTGCCTACACTGAATTAGCACAGTGCAAATTGAAAAATCTAGTGACCTGGGGCAGATGCTGAAAGTGACATTCCTGGATGCCATCTTCCCTAGACCTCACTTTAGGGAAGGTGGCATCCCTTGTATCTCATCTGTGATTGACACCAAGTCAGGCCTTTGTCACTGATCTTGCAACTTACTGAAAGAAATCCCTGCTCCTTTTCTCAGCCACCAGGTAGGTATCTTACTATCACTATGGCTAATCTAAGCTATGACTGTGCTAAAAGCTGCTGTTGCTGGAGATGGCTCAGCAGTTAAGCATACTTGTTGCTTTTGTAGAGGACCCAGGTTCAACTCTCAGCACTACATAGTGGCTCACGATCACCCATCTCCACTTCCACAGGTGCCAGGCAGGCACGTGGTGCATATACATGCAGGCAAAACTCATATACATAAAAATAAAACATAAAAATCTTGGTGTTTTTTAGGTTTCTTCTTCATGGAAAGATGACACACTTTAGAGTAAGGTAAAGAGCTGCTATCTGCCCCTATGTCCTTCCAAGTGTGGTACTGCCTGCTTCTCCCAGCCTCCTGCATATGCCTTGCCTTGACCCCCAGAATCAGACCCTGGGTCCTCCTATTTCAAGATTTTCCCAAGAAGCCTTTTGGCTGACTCCATCTCACCTTCCTCGTCTACCTCATCTAGTTGTCTTCCAACTGTGTTTCTGAATCAGTACATGCCGAACCATTCCTAAATTTTCAGAACCCTACTTTGGCCAGGACAGGCCTCTGCCAGGAAGCTGGTGTCACTGTGGGGAGTGAACTGCTTGGTGTAGACGGTACCAGGATGTCGATGGCACAGATTGTGGAACTTCTTAGGCAAGCCTATGCGCTGTTTGTCAGCATTTGGCATAGTGCCTGGTACAGATGGTATTCTCAACAAATACTAATGGATTAAATGAGTGCATCCATGGCCTAGGAAAAAGAGAGTGAAGAAAACTACCCATGCTGCTGCTGTAGGCCATGGAGCTGTCTTCTTGCCCTCTCTGCACACCCATTTCACCTTCATTTTCTTCTCTTCTTCCTCAGTGCTCTACAGATCCAGCATAGAAGGATGTCTGCTGAAAAACATGGTGGTGGGGGCAGGGGGGGTGTTCTCAAAGGCACAATTGTTTGTCTCCCCATTCATTCCCCCTAAGTGTCTAAAACTCCAAGCATGTTGGATACTGTGTCATACACACCCTAAGAACAAGGAGAAGGATTTTTTTTTAATGTGTGCATGTGTGTGACAGTTAAAAAATAGTGCCAAATTGGGTATGATAGTGCATGTCTATAACTGCCAGGATTCTGAAGGCAGAGGCAAAGAGATCAGGAGTTCAAGGCTAACCTCAGCTATATAGAAAATTTGTGACCAGCTTGGGCTACATGAGACCCCATCCTCCAAACCCGAAACAAATAAAAGAAAATAGTACCAGAAAAATATAAGCATCGCAGGAGGCCATAAAGAACATCTCCAACCTGAGTACAGATAGTATTTGTCTGCCAGCTTCCTCTGCACACCCACACAGAGCTATCAGATCTGCAAGATTGTCTGCATTTCCTCTCAGACCCATTTTGCCCTGATCTGTGCCCTGTGAGGCTGGCATCTACTGATGCTTGGTTTAGGCTCTTACTCCTTGACCTGGACCAGACACTCAGAATGTCTCAACTAGCGAACAGGAGAAGAGGTGGAATAGAGTGTTTGCTTCCAGACTTCAGGTCAACAGAGTTCCTGGCCAGATCACAAAGGATTGGAAATATTCAAGCCTCCTTGAGGGCTATAGTCTTTATAGCTCTGAAAAAGTGGTCTTTCTAAATGTCAATATTACAAAACCAGAGGAAGCTGCAGAAGAGTCTAGACTGTGGGGGTTCCAGTGGGTCTCTTGGGAGCCAGGTGAGACTTTCTGTCTGCCCCCACCAGCCTCTTTACTCTGGGACACAAGTCCCATGCTCAGGTCCCCTTCCTCTTTCACTCAGCCTGTTTAGTCCATGGCAATGAATTTGACCCATGATGGCTCCCAAAACCCCTTTCATTAACGCCAAACACCTGTCTGCCTGCTGTTTTCTTCTTCCATGCTGTCTGGGGTGCTTCACTCTCTTATTTTGAAACCTAAACAACTAATTTGAATACTGTCGTCCCTAAGAAAAATTGTCAATACAAATCATCAGCTGCCGGATAAAGAATGTTCTAGCAGTATGCTTCATACGGGGGTCAGACAAAGTGCTAAGCACTTCCACATGCACTGCCTCATTTAATCTTCTTTAAAAACCCTGAGGTGGTGAGCATTATGCTCCTTATTTGATAGATAAGGAAACTGATTAGTGAGAAGTTTCGAAATTTGCCCAAGGTTACACTCATTCTTGCCTGCCAAGGCGGGATTTAGACTAGAAGACGCCAAGATACTTGCTCTTAACCTCCAGACTCTACTACTGTGAGAACTCAGTCAAATCTGTCATCCCCTTTAATTCTGAATTTCTTTCAAAGAAAATCAGAGGGCAAGATGAAATCCTTGAAAAGTCCTTGTTGCCCTAAAGGTGCACCCGTCTCCTAAAGAGTCGGTTTACCTCCACCTACCAGCAGATGGCGCACAGCCAGTCGTACCATCAGCTTGCAGGCGCTCCAGGGGGAAGCCCAATTTCCCCGCAGCCCTGCCTGACTGGCGTGGGAATGAAATGGAAAAGTGTTCCCAGTGGTAAAATGGTGCAAACCCTTACAGCTTCCACGTGGCAAAGCTAAGAGCTTAGCCGGTAGGTTTGACTCCTAAGGGCACAGTATTGCCATAGCCACTGCTCAATTGATAGGAGACCCTGGGTCTACTCAGCGGTTCTAATCAGTTCTTTCCTTGAAAAGAGACAGAAAGGGCACCCAAAACAATTATAAGAAGTAGATACTTGCCACACCAGTATGGATTTTTTTTTCCGAGACAGGGCTTCTCTGTATAGTTTTGGAGCCTGTCTTGGCACTCACTCTGTAGACCAGGCAGGCCTCGAACTCACAAAGATCTGTCTGCCTCTGCCTCCTGAGGGCCGGGATTAAAGGCGTGCACCACCAACGCCCAGCCAGCATGGATTTTTTTAAATCAATGCCAGAGACAGTTGTTACCCATTCAAACCCCCTTTTAAAGACTCTGGGGGAAGCCTTGGATAGACAGCCTCATGCCCATTACTGAAAATAAACTGGGCGTGGCTTGTTCAGATAGACTCCTAATTGTGACAGCTGCCTTCCTACAGACTCAGGCTTTGGGCTTCCACATAGGCTTTTCAAGGAGAACCAGTCGGAGAGCACAGATGAGCTCACAACAGGCATGTCGGGAAATCCCGGGGCCCTGAGAAGTCACAGAGTTGTCCTCAGTGAATGACTCTTAGCTATAGCTAGCTTAAGAGACATGCTGGTCACACTAACGATGCCTGCCACATCTCCATGCTTTGAGACAAACCCTGGAGAGTGGAAATGGGACTCTGATGCCTGGAGACTTGGGAAGTGAAGGGGAAGTAGTGGAGACAAAGATTCTTCCATCTTAACGTCTAAGGGGCATGTGAGTGCAGGTAAGAAAGCAGTGTAACATCTACACATCATCGACTTCCAAGGAGGAAAAGCCGAGTCCAAGGAGGCAAATGGAACTGTTTCACCAGAGAACAGAATCTCAAACTGCAAGGTCATTGTTAACCCTGCCCCCACTGCACTTAGAGACTCATATTCATCTGGAAGCATCTGGGAGCAGGTCTGCTCACTCTCTCCAGTAACACCACCCCTGCAATAACACAGATTCCCCCTCCTTCAGTAACACCACCCCCCTTGAGGAACACCACTCCGCCCCCTTCAGTCAGAGTTCCCCAACTCTCCCTCCCCCATAGGCAGAGTAAGAAATTGAGCCTGTAATCTGGGCCAGCTTCTGTCTTTGAGAAAAACAGTAAGAAGTACATTGTCCCAGTCACCAAGCTCTTTTGTAAGTCTTCCAACTTAAATTCCTGCTTTATACTGAAAGAGAAACAAGTCCTATCAGCTGTTGAAAAGCAATTTTAAAACTCAAATGATTCATCAGGGCATTGTGGCAAATGCCTAAAACCCCAATACTTGGGAGGCTGAGACAGGGGGACTGCTAGGAGTTCAAATAGGTGAAATCCTGTCTTAAGAGAAAAAGGGAGAAGAGAAATAAAAACGTGTTTTGAAAGTCATTGAGGTTTATGTAAGATTGAGGAGTTCTCGGTCCCTCTTCAGCGACTTTGCCCAGACGCTCTGAATCCAGCATCGACATGCCAGTGGGGAGCAATTAGCCCTGAGTCAGGTTTGCATGTCGGGAGCCGATAGGGCTTTAATGGCTGCATCCCACTGTGTGAAGAAATCTGCTCTTCCATTAACTCCTGGCCAATGGCTGTGGGTTTCCTGTGTTTATGAGCCTGGAGTCTTGTCAGACTGATTAAATAAAATGATAACTTGTGGCTCCTGGGGTCCCACCATCTCCCCTGGAATTGACTGTTCTTCCCAAAGAAATGTTATAATGTCTGCTCTCAACAAGAGAGTAAAGCCGAGCAGAATATAGCTTGAGGAGAACCAAGACACCATCTGGTGGCCATCTCCTATAAATCTTCACCTCAGATGCAAATGCCTTGCACACAGGAAACTGGTTTTGTGATTTGGAGACTGCAGGGAACCAGGCTGTGTGACCACATCCTAGTCAAGTCTCAGAATATGCAGATTTATGGAGTGCCTTATTATTGGTTGATTTAAAGTCCTCACTCATGTTTGTTTCATTTCGGGGGTGATGGTATTTTAATTCAGGGCCTTGTGTATGCTAAGTAGGGCTTTACCAGGGACCTACACCCCTGAATTTTGTATCAGCAGCTGAAACAGAAAGCACTAAGTTAACTCCCCTCGGAGGACTTTCTCAGAATGAAACAAAGACTCTTTGGATGGCCACGTGTCACCCTCAGGTCGTGAGGCTTCTTAGAAGGCAAATGTACCCAGGAAATCCTGATACACACACATTTTTCTTTCCATGACTGTGTTGCGGTAAAGCAGAGAAGACATTAAGACCCTTTGCACCAGGTTCCTCTTCTCAGGGAAAGCCGGTTCCACTCACTGAAGTCCGTTTTTATGGGAGCATCATCACAGACATCCCTCCTCCACACCCAGCCTCTTGCCTTGGGCTCCCTGGCCACAGAATGGCCTTTGTCCTTGTTGGCAGACGGCAGTGACTAAAGTGACCTCAAGTTGACATTTTTTGATCAGTAGCCACAGAGCAAGGCTGTCCTCGGGGCAGAATTCCCAAGCAAGTGAAGTCCCTCTCTGGGGGTCCCTTTGTCCCTCATCCCAGCTGCCTGACCCTTCCCTCTGCCCACTCCTCTCTAGCTCCACACTGCTCCTGTGTCCACACAAGGTGTGAAGGGCATACCCTCTGGAAAGCCCTGCTTGCTACGAGAGAATGCTGTCTTGGTGACTGTTCTGTAAAACCTACATGAGCAAAGGCTAGAACTTGTGTGGGTGATTCAGGAAGCGAATGAGAAGCTGGGACAAGCGACAAAGGGCAGGTGATACTTCTAGAAGCCCTTCTCTCTAATGTTGGAGCCCCTGGATCCATGAGCCAAGTCTCCCCTCCAATCCTTTTTCCTCCTGTAGTTGGTAGGCCTGTGTTTAGACTTGTCTGCTCTGAACTAAATAGCCGGGCACTTCTCAGCACCAGGTACTTCGTGTTAATTAACAGGAAGAAGATGAAACAGGAACTAGCTCAAAAAGTTTACTCATGGCTGGGGGAGGGGTGGGGAATAGGGGTGCAAAGTGGGGCGCTGTGGAGCAGGGAGAAGGCTTCTCAGCACACATAGACTTGGTTTTTCTTGTCTGGGGCCATGAAGGGGAGAAGAGAGGGAGGCTCCCCATCGCTCACTTGCTTGGGGGATGTAATTAAAGCAAGCAGGGTCATCCATATACCCCAGTTGCAAAGCCCAAGTCAGGAGCATCAGTTCACTGCTTCAAAAAGTGAAAGTCACCTGAATCCAGCGAGACGGTGTCACAGTCTCATGATGCTCTTTTTAACTAAAATAAGCAGGGAACATCCAAAGGAGAGTCATGCTCAGAGACACCAGCCGCCCTACAGCTGTGCTGTGGTTCAGGCCTGGAATGTTCCCCGAGTTCCATGTGTTAGAAGCTTGGCCCCAGCCTATGGTGCTATCAGATGACAGTGAAACTTCTGGGAGATGGGACCTAATGTAAGGATTCAGGCATTATGCTGGCCTGCCCCTGTCACCTGGCAGAATGCACTCAGGCAGTACCCTGGTCAGCCCAGGGTTCCATGATTGTGTAGTCTGCACGAAGGTGCAAAGGACCTTTTAAAAGAAAGACCCCCACCCACTTATGCTCTCTTTCCCTCTCTTTCTGCTCTCTTCTCTTTCCTGCTCTCTCTTCCCTGTGGTTCCCTTGGGGCAGACAGGACTTTTCCTGTCTCCCCCTTCTCTTCTGTCCTCTCTCTGTCTCTGTGTCTCTTTACCTCTTTTCTCTTTCCTTCCCCCTCCCTCCCCTTTCTAATAAAACTTTTCACTTAAGCTCTGTCTGCCTGGGGTGTTTGTCCCCCATGGAATCCACCAAGGTCCCCCTCAAGATTTATCATAATACCTAGTAGAAGAAAGATAGGTCATCAAAGACATGGCCTTGAGAGGGATATTAGGACCCTGGGGCTACTCTCTCTCTCTCTCTCTCTCTCTCTCCTTTCAGCCTCCTGCACCATTGCAGTTCACCACGATATTCTGTCTTGCTATAGGACCAAGAGCATGGGACTGTAGATTGAAACCACAAGCCAAACAAACTTTCCTCCTTGTAAGTTGCTTATTTGGGGGTATTTTGTCATAGTGACAGAAAGTCGCCAAAACAAACATCCTTGTGGGACAGTTGTCATAGCCACAAACTACTCAGAGTTCAGCTGAGGAGACCTGAAGAAAGAAGACCTCTACTGGGGCACTTCATAGCCTTGAGGGGCTCAGAACTCCTTCCGGCCTTCAGCAGCCAGTAGCTTTAAGATCTTGAGGGAGAGAAAGCCCAGGTCTTTGGTCTCATGATGCCTCCCATTTCAAGATCTTCCCATAAGCTATAGATGGCAGTCTGTCGGATGTATTCAGACACTGAAAAGACTTGAAGGAAAAGTGATGATGTGTCAGTACCAGGTTGGGAAACCAGAGCATCATGGCCGGATCTGTGCCATACCCACACCCCCTTGATCTGGATTGATGTCCACTGTGCCTCAGTACCTCAGAAAGCGAGTTTATTTGGATATCTGGTCTTTACAGATGTGATCGAATCACAATGAGGTCACCAGGGTAGGCCCTAATCAGATTAGGCTGGGTATCTGTATCCAAGGAGGTAGTTGGGACACAGAGACACACCTAGGAAATGTCACATGAACATTAAGATGTCCACCCTGAGCCAATGAGAGAAGACATCTTCGAAGGCACTGTTTTCTGGGGCAGGCAAACCGGGGGGTGGGGGGGAGGTGAGAGCTGCTACCCGGCTCTGAAGTGTTGTTTAATATAGGACATAGCTGCACTTTGAAACATGTTTTGAGACTAAGCCAGTAAACAGATTAAAGAGACTTTCTACCATCCCCTCTAATCCTTGATCTTCCTCCTGCCCTGCTTGCCTTCCAGTTCAGTCTGTGTTATTCTTTCATGTTATTATTGGATTGTAGCAATGAAGAAGCCCACGCCTCAGAACCCACCTTGTTAACCACATTCTCTCTTCATGCCTCTTTCCCACAGTTTCTGCCATCAATTTTGTTGGGTTTGCATGGGAATGTGCGTGTGTCGGGTGAACTTTGAGTGTGTTTGCCTTGCAGGTGGAGGCTTGTTGGAGGAGGAGGCGTAGGAGGGGTGTGTCCAGGGTGGAGATCATGGTTGGCTTCATGTGAGCAAGCTGGGGAGGGTCTATGGACTCTTGAAAGAGCCTCGACCTAAGAACATTGTGTTTTCTCCTTTGCAATCCTTGTGTGAAACACACAGCACTTGTGGAAGACCAGTCTGAAGTTTACAGGTCAGTGGAATAGCTTTGGACCACTGAACACCAGCATTGGAAGGACCATTCCAAGAACAGGTCTAATTGGAAGGCATCTCAACAGGGGTCTCATGTGTGACTGCTCACACCTGTGGAAGGAACACAGAAGGTAGATCCTGGGCACAGAAAGGCACACTGGAGGTTGACCTAATGTGATGTCACATTCTTGTTGGGTGTGTAGGGGAAGGGTGGCCTCTCATGGAGGGGGGGCAGTCTCCTTTGAGGTCCCATTTGTGCTGAGTGACTAAAGTGAGGGTGATGTAATGTAGACTTGCAGCTGCTGTAACACTGTGTGAATAATTCTGATAATGGCCCTTTACTCAGTGAGGGTGGCAGCCAGATAAGCAGATTGCCACAGCTCTCTGTCAGCTTAAGTTAACAGCTCCTTCGATTGCCATCTGACATGACGTAACACAGCACTGTGACAGACACGTCCCTGTGGGACCTGCCAGGCAGAGGAGAAAATGATGAAACAGGAGCCCGTCTTGATGGAAAGCTTCCTTAGGAAGAAGGGCTGGACCTATTTTCATCCTCTCTCTGGCAGTTCTGTCATCTGTCCCCAGGCCAGCAGCAAGGACAGATGGACAGGGGCTTCAATCTCCAAGGGTGCTTCAGGGGCTTCTTTCTTATAAGGGGTCTTGTGCAGAGGGAGGAAGGGCTGTCCTGACAAAATGGCTACACCTTGGTTTATCAGCCAATCTCACAGTCATCATGCCCGGTGTTCCACACACAATGCATGAGATTTTTTCAGTCAGGTTTCCAAATTTTCCTTTCTCATTGTGGTAAGTGCACTCCAGAGTTCTTGGGTGAGCTGGCCATCTCTGTGCTTCCAGCCTGTGTGTTTTGGCAGGCTTCACCCACACTTCCTGTTCTACAGGAGAGTTCATAGCCCAGGCCTGGCTCAGGAGAGTGCTACCCAACCAGGTGTAGAAAGGCTCTGAGCTAGTCACAGACACTGAAGGACTTTTGTCCCAGCCATGGCAAAGAGGCTTCTTTTTGTTGGTTAATATAGAATTGCTCAGGAGGGACTCTTGCTTCCTTGGGAGAAGAGGCTAGCCAAAACAAGGTCAACACAGTAAAAAGTCGAGCAGAGCTGGGGGTGGAGGGCATACGAAGAATGAAAATATACATTAGACCAAATATATGTGTGTGTGATATACTTGTATAATATATATTATATGCATATATTTTTATGTGTATACTATATACAGACATGTATATACAATTGAAAAATATGGAATCATTTCAAATAAAGTTGTGTCTAGATGCTTGAATGGATGCCAAAAACTGAGGATCATTCCCCTCTCCACTCCCCAGTCCCTCTTGGGTTGTGCCTGCATCATTTATAACTGTCAAGAATGGTGTCAGAGTGCAGGAGCCACCAATGCCTCTCATATGCAGCACTCTGGCCTTTAAGTCATGGTGGACGGGCCGCTTCTCACAGAAGGCCCCTAGTCTGCCCCTGTGCTGTCAATCTCCTCACATAGCCCCTCTTTGTCTCTCTCTACCTCTCCCATGGCTTTCTCTTTTTTTCCTTTCTTTGGCTAAATGTTGTTTTGTCATACACTGAGTGAGAACTTTAAACATGATAGGGGGCAAGTACAAGAACAGAGGAGGGGGCTTCTACCAGCCAGTCCTGGAGCAACTTAAGCACCAACATGGGGAGGGAAGAAGTGAATTCTAAGCCATTGAAAAAACATGTCTAGAATTGTGGTGGCACCTGTGGCAGATCAGGACTCAGTGCAAGCACCACAGGACACTGGTCTTCTGAGGCTCTGAGGGCTCTCCACTGTCCTTTGCTGGGCTGTCTCTGAGCACTTGTTGAGGAACATTTGTGTGATGGCAGTAGTATTTAATAAGGAAATTGTTCCTGTAGAGAAACTCATCACTGATGGGGTAAGAGAGTCCGTATCAAAGCCATACATTAGGGAACCTGCTGCTACTGCCCCAGAGTAGTAGCAAGAGCTGAGCAGAGCTTCTCCTACCTTCAAATTTGAAAACTTAAAGTTTGAAGTCACTGAGAAACGGTAGTCTTAAAGAAATAATATAAAATCTGCCCGGTAACTTACCATGAGTTAATTGTACAACTAATTTGAAAAATTCCAATAAACATTTGTTTCACAATTTAAAAAAAAAATCTGTGAGTTCATACTCCAGAAGTGGATGAATTAACAATGCAGCAAACAGGAGAAGAAAGGTTTTTACTGACAGAGAAGTGTGAGACATCAGCCAGTAAATGTGTGGGAAATCATTGTTGAAAATTTGGCGGCTAGGAAGGTGGCTCGTGGGTAAGAGTTTTGCATCCTTAGAACCCACATGTACCAGCCGGATTCAGTAGCACGCATGTGTGACCCGGCACTCCTATGGTGAGGTGGGGGGCTGAGACAGGGGAACCACCCCCTCTGAAAGCTCAATGGCCAGTTAGCCTGAAGTAGTCAGTACAGTTCACAAACAGAAGAGTTTCTGCCTCCAACAAGGTGGGTTATGAGAACTGACCCCTGAAAGTTGACCTCTGATCTTTATAAAACCTTTATAAAACCTGAAGCAAGCAGGTGCTCACACACACAAGCACATGCATACATACACACCCAAAATATTTTTAATTAAATTAAATAAAAAATAAAAAATAACTAGAGCCTGAAGGGATGACTCAGCGGTTAAGAGTTTGTGCTGCTCTTCCAGAGGACCTGAGTTTAGTTCTTGACATCGACATCAGGTGGCTCACAACTGTAACTCCAGCTCCAGGGGACCCAAAGTCTCTGGCTGCATGCTCACATACCCGCATGTAGACATAGACACCTACACAAAATTAAAACTCATAAAACAGCAAATTAAAGAAAGAAAGAAAAACCATCATTTTTAAACCACGATAGTAAGGATTTTTGTCAGCAACGACACTGTTTGTAGATCACTTTGTGTAGTATGGACATTTTAATAGCATCGATGCTTTCGACTCAATAGCAGCGTTACCTTCCTGCTGTGTCTTCTTTAATTTCTCACAGCGATATTTGGATTATAAATTAGGCACCATCTAAATATACTGAATCTCTAATGGCTTGGGGGGAAATCAAGAGTGGAAAAGAGATGGAGGGAGGTGGACAAGGAGTCAATGAAACACACAAGGAAATAAAGTTGCTTGTTAATTGAGGTTAAGGGTGGGTTCCTCTCCATCATCCCAGTAGGCCTGCCATGATGCCCAGCTTCTTGTGATTGGTTTTAAGAGCCTGACTTCAGGAGCAGGGCTGTTTTCACTGGCCCGGGGACAGCAGTTCCCCCAGCCGTGGCCTCCCTGAGCCCCTGGTGTAGTGTAATCGGCACATGAGACTTCTTTCCACATGCATCAATGATTTTGTCAAATGAAATTTAATCCTTCCAAAGCAGGAGGGTTATTTGGGGTTAGCCATTAAAGTTGTTAATTAAAACGTTAATGTCCCATTGTTGTTACTCTGTTTAAAGGAATTCTCCAGGAGCCTGGTATTTGGTGCCTCTTTGCTCTGCTCCTGTCTAACTCAGGTAAAACCCAGGACTACAGCTTTGCTTGCATTTCTTTTCAGCCATGAGGGACCCTCCAATGTGGGTGCAAGTCTTAAGAAAAGAAACGTTGTTTAAAGGCACGTCCATGTTCATAAGACATTGGATAATATGGACTAAATATTTCTGATTACTTCTAACATGTGCAAAGTAGCTTTGGCAAAATATAAGCTATGACTACTGTATCATCCAGAAATGAAAACACCAGAAAACGTTACAAAATCCTAGAAGGTATGTTTTCATATTTCCACAAAAAAACATGTCACTACACAATGAAAATTGTGAATTGGTGGAATGGGAGGTGAGGACCACACCTGTTCACACAGTAAAGGTCCTTGGGGACAGAGCAGACTATGGGGACTTCATATGTCCTGCATATGCTAGAAGGTGTAGCCACAACCCTGGCTCCAACACACTAGGTAGTGCTTCCCACTGTACTAGCCAGAATGATTGCTAAATGTGCCCTGGAGGGCAACCTTGATGGAGAAATGCAGCCCCTATCTGAGAGGCCTGTGTGAGAATGTGAGTGTTTGGGGAATAAAGAGGTGTCTGTGTTTGTTCATCTAAAAATGTGTTCCTTGGAACAGTGGCATCTTGTGAGATAAGTGGTGGCCCCTTAAATGGGATTCATATTCAAACAGTGTTGAGAAATAGCATATAATTTTCCTCTCAATTGAAGGCTCACACACACACACACACACACACACACACACACACACACACACACACACATATATTTCAGAATAGTAAAGGCTTTGAGAGGTTGTGCAAGAGAACTACTTGCCTTTGGTTAAATTCAATTACCACAGTACATTTTTATCAAGGGACAGTATTCACTTCCTGAAGGTCACTATTGTGTTGCAGGACACAGCTTGAAAAATGGCAGTGTGTGTAACTGAGACACAGGGTATGTGATTGAATTAAAGCCAGGGAGTACAGAATCTCAAGCCAGAGTCAAAGGACTTGGATTCAGATAAGAGCTCTGAATTTCACAGTCAACAATCTCAAAGTAACCAGCAGGTAGTTTTACTAAATCTGGCTTAGTTCTTCTGTTGGTAGATACTAAGCAACATTAGCCTAGTGTCAGTGAGGCAAACAAATTAAAGGGTGTAGAAACAAAAACCCAAGGGCCAACAAGATGATAACATGGGTAAAGGTACTAAGCACTACAAATAAGACAAAAATAAAAGAAAAAATATCTATGCAAGTGTACATGGTGGTAGTGTTCAGTCAATGATGAGTCCTAACAGTTGCTGTGGGCCTATATTACCCAGGTATAATAATATGGTGATCTTTGTCAAGAGCATTCAGAATGAAAGAAAAACAAGTGTGAAGAGAGAGATGTTAGCATCACTTAGGTTAGACACTGGTGACCAGAGATGGGACAAGTAATGACATCATTAAAACAGAATCTACAGAAGTAACAAACTCAAGTTTAAAAGTTGAAGATGAAAGGGGGAGGGGTTGGTGGCACAAACACTTTACTGCTGGCATTCCAGAGGCAGGGGCAGGTGGAACTTTGTGAGTTTCAGATCAGCCAGCCAGGGCTATATCTTGAGAACTTAGATAGATAGACAGACAGACAGACAGACAGATAGACAGATGATAGATAGACAGACAGACAGATAGATGAGTAAAATAAGATGGACTCTTATTTGAAGATATCAAAGAGCTACAAAGTCATAAAATCAGGAAATGCAGAAGTCAGATCAAGAGGTTTGATGAACTCAGCATTCCCTTAAGTTTCCCTCTCAATGGATATTGCTGGTCAGAGGGAGTGTGAACAATTGGAAGACAGACTAGCTGGGTTTAGCTTTCAGCACCTCATGGGCTGAGAAAGCAGAAATTGGTGTTCAAGGGTCCTTTGGAAGACAGAACTTGAAGCCATATCGAAAGCTAATAAAAAAAAAAAAAAAAAAAAAGGAAGAGAATTCAGCCTGAAAGTCTGAGTGGCTTTTTACCTGCAGATGTTTGTGACATTTTAAGCAGTATAAACCTTGAAGGTAGGGAGGCTTAGTAGTAAGTGGCAGTTGGGGGCAGGAGCAGAGTCACTGACAGCCTCATTGGGTCTTGATGTTGGAGAGCTGTGTGAAGATCCTGGGTTCTCACTGGACCGCTGGGAGGCTTCAACTTTGGATTAGGACAAATCAGAAGTGGGCAAGATTTTGCAAAGACTAGAACCCAACCTGAAACCTGAAACAGATTGATCTTGAATTAGATTATCAAGAGGTTGTATTGCTTCCTTGTCCATTGTGTGATAAAAACACCACGACCAAAGGCAACTCTAGGAAGAAAGGGTTTATTTCTGTTTACAGTCCTAGAGGAATAGAGATCATTATGGCAGGGAAGAGGAGGAAGCATGGAGGCAGCAGGAAGCTGACAGGAAGTAGAGAAAAAGAACCGGAAGTGGGGCCAGACTATGAACTTCAAAGCCAGTTCCTTAGTAATATGCTTCCCTCAGCAAGGCTCCACCTCTTCAAGGTTCTACAACCTCCCCAAATAGCACCGCCAGCAGAAACCAATTGTTCAAATATGTGAGCCTAAGGGGGACATTCTCATTCAAACCGCATTAAAGCCTTTTTCCCTTTATCCAGAAGAAGCTAAGCAAATCATCTTTGGAAACACTGACATCACTAAGAGCTTGCACCATTTTGCACACACAAGGTGTGGTTGTAAACTTGATTACATCTGGAGTCAACTAGAACTCAAGCAGTTGGGCATGCTTTTGAGGGAGTCTCTTGATTGGATCTTTCGAGGTGGGAAGTCCCACCCTAAGTCTGGGAAACAATAAGATTCTTGCTATGAAGTCAATCATTTTTCTTTCATAATAGTCACAACAAATCATTGGGAAATTAAATTTGAAAGTTGATAACATTTTAGATAGACTTAAATAAAATAAAATATTATCAAGCAATGTAGAAAGCAACAAACTATTTGAAAACAATAAAGAAAATTTGAAATCCAAGGATTATCTGAATCATTGCAGGATATAATATGGGAAAAATATCAGTTTCTCCCCAAACCATTCCGCAGATTCAATGCAGATCACAAACATCATCCCTATCAGGTGATCTGGGCTTTGTTCTCCTTTGTTTGCACATGAAAATGACAGGCTGACCCTCAGAAAGTTGTCTGTGGGAACAGTCTGAGGCATGAACACTCCTGAGAAAGAGGACTGGAACAGAATGGAGACTGTAGAAACCAGCCAGGCCCCTTGGCTGATGACAAACAAGGTGCTGTGGAAAAACTATATGGTAAAAGAGCCAAAATAAACAAAAATAAACAAATGAACCCTCTTCATCTCTTCTCCAAAATCATTAAAGACAAACAAACACAGCAAGCCCCAAACTGGTCATGTTGTACACCTGTAATATGATCTACCACAGAGACGAAAGCAAGAGGATCACTACAGTCCAGAAGTTAGAGGCCAGCCTGGCCAATGTAGCAAGACCCTGTCTCAACAACATTTCCCCCCCCCCAATTCATCTAGGGCCAGAAAGATGCCTTAGTGGGTAAAGGCTCTGGGGGCCAGGCCTGAAGCCCTGGGTTAGGTCACCAGGCCTCACAGGGTGGAAGGAGGGAGCTGACTCTGGGTAGTTGTCCTCTGACCTCCACAACTGCACACCATGGTACGCACCTGTGCACACAAGCATGCATATAGACTAATAAATACATGTAAAATAAATATCCACATGGGTTTGTCGATGTAAAACAGGAAAAGGAGGTTGATTATGTTTTCAAACAGAACACAGGAGTGTCTCAGCAATAGTGGAGGCTATGAGACTCTTAAATGTATGTGAGAACCATAACAAAAATTCATAAATTAGAATCCATTAAGAAGAAGAATGTCTGCCTACTGGAAGAAGCCATTGTAAGAGTGGAGAGCCAGCCATGATGACAGAAACTCATGGTTCTGACAAAGGACTCATTCACACAGAGGAGAGGAGAGGCCCTTTAAGTTGCCAAGGAAAAAATGGGGAACACTATTTAAAACAACAACAACAACAACAACTTAGCACACACCGCCAGAGAATATACAAATAGCCAACACGCAACTGAAATAGGGTCAGCTCCACTCCAGTGCAAAGTGCCCACCCGCAGAAGAGTTCATTGTGGATGAGTATATAGGATTCCCATACAGTCTGGGAAGCTGTGCAAAGCCTGTGACTTCAGAAAACTACATATACATACCTATGACTGAGTAATTATATTCCAAGATATACTCAATAGAAAAGCTTTCTTTCGTGAAAGCTAAAATGATGTGTGGGTTGGCTCACTGGGTAAAGGAGCTTGCTTCCAGGCTTGACAAACTGAGTTAGATCCCCTGGATCTACATGGTAGAAGGAGAGAACTCATTCAAGAGGATTGCGTTCTGACCTCCACATGGGCACAGCGCCATACACATGCACTTGAGTGTACACACACATACACACAGTACACATACACCACACACACACACACACACACACACACAGACACAGACACAGACACAGACACACACACACACACACACACACACACACACACACACACACACAGGAATTATTCACCCTTTAAAAAAAAGGGAAGAACTTCTGATACTACAACATGGATAAATCTAAGGAAATTGTGCTAAGTGAAAAGATTCAGCCTCAAACTACACAAACACTGTCTGGTTTTGCTTAGACGCAATGCCAGAGGAGTCAAATTCTGAGCTAGAAGGTAGAATGGTTCCCACCAGGGGTAGAAGAAAGGGCCTGGGCAGTTATTGTTCAGTGGGCTTATAGTTCTAGTTTGACAAGATGAATATGTCCTAAGGAATTGTTTCACAAGAATGTGAGTGTATCCCCATGACTTAACTGCATTCACAGAGGGGTAATGTGAGTGGTGTCCCCACTGCTGAACTATGCATTATGGAAGGGTAAGGTCTGAGGGTACAGCTCAGTGGTACTTCACTTGCCTAGCAGACCCAAGGCCTTGGGTCACACTCAATACTGCCAAAAAATAAGTAAAAATATATGTTTGTTTTTTTTTTTAAAGAATTAAAGTTCTTTCACAAGTGAGAAATGAAACAAGAATGCCCTTTCAGAAAAGATTCAAAAAGGACACAAGAAGAGATGTGGCCAATGGATATAAGAACTGTGCCCAATTTCCCAAGTCATCAAAAACAACAGATAAAGGCTCCTATGTATACTGGTTCACCAGATTGGCAAAGTTTAAAAAGAATCTCCTAGCCCAGTGTTGGCAAGCATTTGGGGAAGTAGACACTTCTGTGTGCTGATGCTGAAGTTAAACTCTTCAGGACAGAATAAAACACAACCTACATCGAAATTAAAAATAAAATTTCCCTCTATCTTGGTTAGGGTTTCTATTGCTGTGAAGAGACACATGACCACAGCAACTCTTATAAAGGAAAACATTTAATTGGGGTCTTGCTTACGGTGTCAGAGGTTCAGTCCATTATCATCGTGGCAGGGAGCACAGCAGCATATAGGCCAACATGGTGCTGGCTACATCTTGATCAGAAGGCAACGACAGGAAGGGGGACTCTGTATCACACTGAGTGAAACTTAAGTGTATATGAGACCTCAAAGCCAGCCTCCACAGTGACACACTTTCTCCAACAAAGCCACACCTCCCAATAGTGCCACTTCCTTTGGGAGCCATTTTCCTCCAAACTACCACACCCTCTAACCCAACATTCTAAGTTCTAGGAATCTCTCTTCAAGTAGATAATCAGTCACATACCCAAAAGATATTGCTAGGGTTGAAATATGAACTGTCCCCATGGGGCCATGTGTCAAGGTCTTGGTTTCCAGCTGGTGGCACTGTTTGTGGAGATGGTGGAAACATTAGGGAACTCACTAGAGAAGGCAGGCCACTGGGGTGTACCTCTGACCACTACAGCTGTCTCTGCCTCTAGCTCAGCACCAGTAGCCTCTCCCCACCATGATGTTCTGAGTCATACAGCTCCAGAACCTACAGAGCCAGGGTTATGGGCTGAAATCTCTGAAACCAAGTGTCAAACTAAATCCCTTTTTCCTTCTATTGTTCTCAGTCCTTTTTGTCACAGCTCTGAACCCGTGCTGTGGAGTCTAGAATAGTGAAATAGCAGAAACAAAGCCTCATTTATATCAAATGGGAACTGCTAATAAAGTATAACATTCACGGTGAGCATGTAATTCAGTGGTCTACCATGCCTAAAGACCTGGGATCCATCCCCAGTACAACCTCCCCAACAAACAAACAAACAAAAAAATATGAACATATGCATGTGTGTAACGATAAGTCTTTACTCCATCCGCCTGAACCCCGCTGCCACGAGGGCACCCAGAATAACACACAGAGTCTTATATTAGTTTACAATGCCCTGGCCAATTGACTAGGATTTCTTATATGCTAGCTCAGTCTTAATTATCATAAATCTATATATTTTATAAGACTTATCTTATCAAGGATGCCTTCCACTGGCGTCCTCTTCCGGGGACCACATGGTGGCTCTGTAGAGAAGACAGCAGGAGGAAGAGGAAGAGCAAATGGACGATTTCCTTCTTGTCCCTTCTTATATTCTGAGTCTGCCTGCTATGTCACTTCCTGCCTGGATCTCAAGACTTCTTTTTACTACATTTCCCAGAATACTCCTTGACTCCTAGTCCCATATCTTGCTTTCCTATTGGCCAACAGTAGTTTATTTATCAACCAATAAGACAAACATATACACAGAAGGACTTCCCGCATCACATGTGTGATATACATGTGCGTATGATATGCATATATACACATATGCATATAACATGATACGACACTCTTCTCCATAGTGGACATACTATTTTTCATTCTCACATAGAACACTGGAGTTGCAATGCTCACACATCTTTGCTGACACTACTTAGTTTCTGAGGCTTTGGGGTGGAATTTTTTGGTTTGGTTTGGTTTTAGTTTTTTTTTTTTGGTTGTTGTTTTGCTTTTTCCTTCTTTTTTTCTTCCTTCCTTCCTTCCTTCTTCCTTCCTTCCTTCCTTTCTTTTTATGGTGTTGCTTTAAATTGTTTTGTCTTATTTGAGACAGGGTCTAGGCTGGCTGTCCTAAAAACATAATTGTTCTTTTTTTTTTTAATTCCCTCAGTGTTAATCAGTTTATAATCACACACATGTATTGCTTTGTGCTGAGTTCAGCCCTTGGAGTCCTAGTCTACACTGCCTCAGAAAGGGACTCC